AAAACGAGCTTTACAACGTCGGTTCTGGGGGGGGAAGGGGGAGAAGGAGAAGGATTGGGATTGGGGGGAGGGGGGAGGCTGGGAAGGGATGTGAAGGGTAAAAAAAAAAAGAAAAAGAAAAAGCCAAGTAAAAGCAAAAGGCCCCAAGTTCAAGCTCTAGAACTGGCATATGCAGACACCAAACACACACACAAGAGTATGTGAAATTGAGTTCAAGTCCTTGTATTAGCACCAAAAAAATACAGGGAAATCTTGTAGGCTGCTAGTTAATAATTTCTGAAACAGAAGACAAAATTTTTCCAGATGGTGACAAGATAGAGATGAAGCTGGAGACAAGAGATGGCTAATGAAGAGGTCTCCAATACAACAAAATTCCAGTGACAGCAATGGCCGTAAGAAATACCTACATGACATTCAAATTCAAATGGCAGATCTCCAAAATCTCCAATTCTTCGGCAGTATCTGAACTGAAAGAAGAGCGATACAAGTAGGGGGTCCTGCTCAGAGCCATCCATTTATTTTTACTGCTGACTGCCTCACTACAAGTGAAGTAGTTGAGACCCTTTGACTGCATTGCAACAATCAAGGCCTCAGAGGAGAACAGAGTGTTGGCAGCTGTGTAGGGAGACTTCAGTCATGGAAACATCTACATGGTAAAACATTCTTCACAACATGGTATTGACAACTCACCCTAAACTCAGGTCCCATGTGAAGTCAGGAAAGCTAGTGATCTTTTTTTTTTTAAATTTACTGTTATATTTAAGAAGTTATACAAAGGAATTTCAATTCAACACGTCAGTTTATGATTATAATACATCTTGATCAATATCACCTCTTTTCATAATTCTCTCTTATCAATCTCCCCCCATAATTCTCTTCTCCCATTCCCCATCCCCTCAATTTTCCTATTCCATTTTCACATATACATATTAAGTACACATCTCTCTGATGTGATTATTAATGGTGATGTTTGATGGCCCCACTCAGGGCCCACACACTGTAAATGACAGTTTCCTTCCATCCTAAGATGCCTATGGTGAGAATTTTTTTAACCTACCTCAAAATCCAATTCCCACTCTCCCCAAAGTCATAATCATCTCCGTCCCAGCAACAACAATAATCAACGATATTGGCGTGGTTAAGTTGTGCCAAGGCTCTTACTTCACGCTCCACCTTCCTAGAGGAACAGGAACATAAGGATGTCAGGATGAATCCCCAGTAACTACAAAACAGCTCAGATAACAGGAGAGAACGGTCCACACTCACTTATAAACATCTCTGTGATTTCCACACCAAGCTTTAGAATGGGGAAAAGAGAAGTCAAAAGAAAAAAAGTGAACAAACTGAACACAAAAAGTGCAGTTGTTCTCTTAATAGCTGATTAAAAGTTACCTTTGCTGAAAGATAGTCTCTTTGGGCCCATTAATTAATTAGATGCAGGAAAAAAACCTGTCATCACTGACTTCACTTGGTATCTATGTCCTCTGGTCTAAGCATTCCTTCTGTAGTTACCTCAAAATCCAGACTTTTGCTGGTTAGTTAAGCATTTCACGGACTTTCCTGCCTAAGCTGGCTTTGAACCTTGATCATCAAATCTCAGTCTTTTGGGTATCTTAGAATTATAGGTGTGAGCCACCAGTGCCTGCTGAGATAATCCTCCTTGACATCCATTCTCTGTGTGATGAGGAGTTCAGGCCACCTAAGTCTGGTTGACAACCCCAGTTGAACTGCCCGCCCACAGCCAGCCCACAGCCAGCATCATCGGTCTTGCGGGCCTTCTTGGATATCCTGCTCAGTCAGGTATTCAGCTAACTCCAGAATGCAAAAACACCAAGAGCACCCAGGTGAATTGAATCTAGCTGAGCAGCTATATCCACTGGATCAGGAGACAGTCATTTAAGCCACCACATTTGGAACAGCACAATTACCAACTTGCTTTTACTTCATTAAATCAGTTAATCTCTTTGGCCATGTCAGTTTCCTCAACTGTAAAGTATATATAGCATCAGCTTTAGATTGGGGAGGGAGGTCACTTTTTTTTTAAACTCAGTTAAAACCAGAGTTAACATAAGATCATTTCATAATAAGTCAAGTTCCTCTCGATTACATTACAAAAAATGAAGCCGGGTGCCTCATACCTATAATTCTAGTTACTCAAGAGGCTGAGATCTGAAGATAATGGCTCAAAGCCAGCCTGGGCAGGAACGTCCATGAGACTCTTATCTTCAATTAAACATCAAAGAAGCCAGATGTGGAGCTGTGACTCAAATGGTAGAATGCTGGCCTTGAGCAAAAAAGCTCAGCGACTGTGCCCAGACCCCAAGATCAAGCCCCAGGACCAAGACAAAGAGACAGAGAGAGAGAAAATAAAAATAGAGAAGGACAAAAAGAAATATATGATATACCAATGAAGGAGAGAGAAATATGAAAAAGTATAGAGCAAGTTCAACAATCTCTCATTCAAAAAAGTAAAACATTTACTACTTACGGGTCATCATACTTAACACATTTAATTACGTAAGTCTTTTTATCAATGTTGTGCTTCGCTTTGAAAACTCGGCCAAATCCTCCAGCACCAATTTGCTTTATTTCTTCAAAATTCTCGATAAACCTCAAGATAAATACCAGTATTATTCTGAAATGCAGTGCTTGACCTCATGTGACAGGGTCTATATAATAACCATCATTGCCAGCTCCCTCTGATTATTCAGAAACTATTGCTACAGAAACTTTTTTTTTTTTGGGTCCAGTCATGGGTCCTGAATCTGGCCTGGGCGCTGTCATTCAGCTCTTCAGCTCAAGGCTCGCACTCTACCACTTGAGCCACAGCACCACTTCCGACTTTTTTCTTTTTGCTTATGTGGTGCTGAGGAATCGAACCCAGGGCCTCATGCACGTAAGGCAAGCGCTCTACCACTGAGCCACCTTCCCAGCCCTGCCACAGAAACTTTTAAGTCACCGAGTGGTCCTCTTCCATGGACAGTCAACATAGCAGGTGGCTACTGAGGGAGAGCAATTTACTCCTAGGTGTAAGATGTCATGGTTAAAATTTAAAAACAAATCCCTTCACATATAGAAAACTTCACACTGTCGTATCCACAGCTGCCACTGAGCTGTTGAGAGAAAAACAAGCATATGTTCTGATCTTGCTTCACCTTAGAACTACCATCTTTCTTCTTTCTCTGAAGCCCCACACATTTGAACATTAAGCTCCATCAATTCTTCTTCCAAAAACGTATCACTGGACCCTGCCCATTTATCTCTCTCCTTCATCTTTGTTCCACTTCACACTTTCCTCAGACTACTGTAGTAGCTTGCTAGCTGATACCCCACTTCCTCTCCTACCCTGGCTCCAGTCCATGATCAAGAGCAAACCAGGATGATGGGATCATAGTTCGATCATGTGTCTCCCTTGTCTACACTTGCAATAGCTCACCTTTGCATTCAACAAAATCCAGAAAGTCTAGAAAAGACATGTAACATGTCCCCTGTCTCCCTCTGCAGCTTCTTCCCATGGTCTTAAACTTGCTTTCCGAACTCCAAGCACATGGCCTTAGACACATACTGCTTCCTCCTCCTCCTCCATCTCCTCATCTTCATCATCAGTTGTGGGACTTGAACTCAGGCTTGGGTGTTGTCCCTGAGCTTTTGTGCTCAAGGCTAGAGCTCTACCACTTTGAGCCACAGCACCACTTCTGGCTTTCTGGTGGTTAATTGGAGATAAGGGTCTCACAGACTTTCCTACCATGTTAGGCTTCAAACCAGAATCCTCATATCTCAGTCTCCTGAGTAGCTAGGATCACAGGTGTGGGCCATCAGCACCCAGCACACATTTTGTCTCTTCTACTTTCACCTTCTCATTTGCTCTTCCATTTACCCATCTCCTTTTAGCATCTTTCAGAGAAGCCATACCTCGCCCTTCACATATTGGAGTCCATTCCTTGTCCAGTGATCACTTTTCCTTTAGAGCTCTGTCCATATTTTGTAGTTACAGACTTTTTAAATGTAATTATTTAGTAAATGTCAGTTATCCCCAATGTGGAGACCCTAGAGCCCTGTGGGAGCTATGATAAAGTAGAGGTTGTGTGAGTGGATGGTGCATGGAGATAAAGTCTGAAGCCATTGGAAAACTATTGGTTTGTGTGTTTGACTACCTTGTGTCTGAATAAAGACATAAGATTCTAAGTATTTGACATTCCACTCTGTTCTTGTCAAAAGACAGGAGGACTGCTGTGTGTACTTATCTTGCTGCTTCCTGCACCTGTCACCTGCCATTTGGAATGTAACTAAAACAGCTACACATTGACATATAGTCTGGTGACCCATAAAAAATGGTGGACTGAGGAGATTCTTGAATTCAATGAAATTCTGTCTGTTAAATTAATTTCCTCATTCTCATGGTGGTATAAGACTGTGAGTATTATTTCATGAATAATCCTTTATCTGCCAGACTATGTCTGCTGCGTGGAACCAGCACCTGAAGACTCCATGAGAGAACTGGTTTCATCTGTTCCTTCTGCAAATGCAGTGCCCACAAATTGTTAGTACCTGTTAGATGCAGCATCTAATAAAGTATCATGAAATGAAATAAACTTTAAAAATAAGGTAAAATAAAATAGTGCTTAAAATATTTATTAAAAAAACTGGATTTAATGTTCTGCTGTTGCAAATATGTCTCCTACATTTTTGGTGGTGTTTTAAAACCCAAACATGTCATTTACAGGAGCCTTCTTTCAAGTGAAATTTTCTATAGACCTGAAAATTAAGCAGAAACTCTGTGTGTGTGTGTGTGTGTGTGTGTGTGTGTGTGTGTGTGTGTACAGTGTAGGTATCAGTACAGAACTCATGGCCTCATGCTTTTTTATTCACTGAAGCTGGGGTTCTACCACTTGAGCTATGCCTCCAGTTCTGGCCTTTCTCTGGGTAATTGGAGATAAGGGTTTTATGTACTTTTCTACATGGGCTGGCTTCAAACTGCAATCCTTAGATCTCAGCCTCCTGAGTAGCAACATTTTTTTCTAAACTTTTTTTCCCCTAATCACCAGTTTATAGACATGTTTGCTTTCAATCAAAAACACGAATGGATGTCTAGAAACTCTCATAAGAACAACAAACCTGTGTTTACCATCTTCTATGTGGATTCATCTCAATCTTACTTCTCCAAGAAGTGACAATGCTTTGTGATTTTGATTGTGCTATAGCTATTAAACTGTTCAACTTTATAAGATCTCCTTAAGAAGCTGTTGAATTAGCAAGTTTATCTTCAAGAATATTCTAGTAAGCAGGATGCTGGTGGCTCACACCTGTAATCCTAGCTACTCAGGAGACTGAGATCTGAGGATGGCGGTTCAAAGCCAGCCCAAGCAGGAAAGTCCGTAAGACTCTTATCTCCAATAAGCCATTCAGAAAACCAGAAGTGGTGCAGTGGCTCAAGTGCTAGCTTTGAGCTGAAGCACTGAGGGACAGCACCCAGGCCCAGAGTTCAAGCTCCATGACCAAAAACAAAAAAATTCTAGTGTATAGTTCCTTCTTACCTGTTGTTTATTGTATACTTGTTTCCTTTTAAAACAGGAGAGTTAAATGAAGGTGCCAAGTGTCTAAAATAAAGATAAGAATGGAAAATTCAAATTAAAGTGAAATCAAACATAACTTGTATAGAGCAGGATTTAAGTCCTGCACTGACTGAGTTCTTTATATTTTGGGTTAACTATTAGAATAATAGGTAGCACGTTTTAATTTTCTTCTTTATAAAACAATATCCTGATGACTCTTCTCTTTCTTATAAGGATTTTTCATTCCTGTCCTAGTTCCCTTCTTCACTATAACACATTCATTGATGGCCAACCACTTGCCCTTCCCGTCTTTTCTCCACACTCACAATGCAAGACCCAGTATATCTTGAGGATTCCTTCCCCAAGCCAATATTCCTTATTGATCATGAGCTAGTTACCTGCCATTAGAAGTTCACAAAGCATCTAAAATGAAACAGATCCAAATTGCTAGCTTCCCTCTAAGCCCCCAAGTTTTCAACTTGCCTAACATCATCAGCGCCATGGTTCTTGTCTGTATCCTGCCTAAGAAACAGTGTACTTCAAACCTTCCCATCCCTCTCACCAGCTACTGGACTCCCTCCACTTTCTCAAGTCATATCTACGCATATTTTACAGTTTTCTTCACACAGTTCCCTTCTTTCCTCACAGATGCCACATCCTTGGCTGTGGGCCCAATGTTTGGCATGCAGACTTGTTTTGTCCTCATGTAAACACCTATATCAGCATGGCTAGCCACTGGTCAAAATATGCTGGTGGATGCCAGTTCATGCTCATTCCTGACCATATTTATACTTCTGCTTTCCTCTTTGGTTAAAGACACCGATCCACCAAAATTTGACCATTTGACCTTTGACCTTTAAAAAATTTAAAAACTCAGCCAGTTGCTGGTGGTTCACACCTGTAATCCTTGCTACTCAGGAGGCTGAGATCTAAGGATCATGGTTCAAAGCCAGGGGGGGGAGGGGAAGGGGGAGAGGTGGAGGGGAGAGCGGGGAGGGGGGGGGAGAGAGTCCGAGAGACTTATATCCAATTAACCAGAAAACCGGAAGTGGTACACTGGCTGAATATGGTAGAATGCTAGCCTTGATCAAAGAACTCAGGAATAGTGCCCAGGCCTCAAGTTTAAGCCCCCAAACCAACAAAAAAGTAAATAAAAAATATAAAAATAGGGGCTGGGAAGGTGGCTCAGTGGTAGAGTGCTTGCCTTGCACGCATGAGGCCCTGGGTTCGATTCCTCAGTACCACATAAGCAAAAAGAAAAAAGACGGAAGTGGTGCTGTGGCTCAAGTGGTAGAGCACTAGCCTTGAGCTGAAGAGCTAAGGGACAGCGCCCAGGCCCAGAGTTCAGGCCCCATGACCAGACCCAAAAAATAAATAAATAAATAAATAAAAATTTAAAAATATACATATATATATATATAATCAAGTCATTACTCTGCCTGTCTGAAAATACACTTCTGACTTCCCACTCCAAGTCTACTTCCTCATTGGCCTCATCCAAAATAATATCCTAAACTATGAATACAACAACCTCAGTGTAGGACCTTCTATCAACAGTACACCATGCGCCTAGACTCAAAAGTTCCTCTGTACACGAGATGTCAAGCTTTCAAGTTCTGAAACCCCAATCAAATAAGCATGTGTATTATTCTACAAATACTGAAGATAATAAATAAGGCTGAAAACATAATTCTGAAAGAAAATTAGTCCAAAGCACAATGATACTCACACTTCTTTCTTCTTCTGATGGTTTTTGGGACCATTCTATAACAAAATAAAATTGGAAATAATTTAACTGAAATCATTAAAGCAATCCACCATTTGGTGTGTGTGTGTGTGTGTTGTTGCTGTGTGTTTTTAGACAGGGTCTCCAGGCTAGCCTGGATTTTTCTATGCATCCTGGTTGGCCCAGAACCTACCATCCTCCGGAGTGCTTGAATTATAAGTATGCCACAGTATGCATCTAATCAGATTAATTCTTTAGATGGCCTTGTGGTTATATTTCTTAGTGTGTATGACTAAAAGCTTTATACACAAGTCAGGCACTGGTGGCTCACATTTGTCTTTGCAGCTAGCTACTCAGGAGACTGAGATCTGAAGATAACAGTTCAAAGCCAACCCATGCAGGCAAATTCATAAGACTCTTGTCTCCAATTAGCCACCAAAAGTCAGAAGTGGAGCTGTGGCTCAAGTGGTAGAGCGCTAGCCTTGAGCTGAAGAGCTGAGGGACAGCTCCCAGGCCCAGAGTTCAGGCCCCACGAATGGACCCAAAAAAAAACAAAAACAAAAACAAAAATACCAGGGAGCCGGGCACTGGTGTCTCACGCCTATAATCCTAGCTACTCAGGGGCTGAGATCTGATGATTGTGGTTCAAAACCAGCCCAGGCATGAAAGTTCATGAGACTCTTATCTCCAATAAACCATCAGAAAAACTGGGAATGGTGCTGTGGCTCAAGTGGTAGAGTGCTAGCCTTGAGCTGAAGAGCTGAGGGACAGTGCCCAGGCCCAGAGTTCAAGCCCCACGACCGACCAAAAAAAAAAAAAGTAGCAGGGAGAGAGCTGGGGTGGTGGACCAGTGGCAGAGTATTCATGAGGCCCGAGGTCAAGTCTCACCAAAGAGGGAAAGGTGAGAGAGAGGAAGGAAAAAAGGGAGAGAAGAAGAGAGAAAGAAGGAAAAAAAGTAGAGAAGGAAGGAGGGAGGTATGGAGGATGAAGAGGGAGAAAACAAATGCAAAAATATACCTAGGGCTGGGAATGTGGCCTAGTGGTAAAGTGCTTGCCTAACATGCATGAAGCTCTGGGTCAGGTTCCTCAGTACCACATAAACAGAAAAGGCCGGAAGTGGGTCTGTGGCTCAAGCGGTAGAGTGCTAGCCTTGAGCAAACAGAAGCTCAAGGACAGTGCCCAGGCCAGCCATGCAGGTCATGTTTTTGTTGTTTTTTGTGCCAGTCCAGTCCTGGGGCTTAAACTCAGGGCCTGGGTGCTGAGCCTTTCTGCTCAAAGCTGGTACTCTACTACTTGAGCCACAGCTTCACTTCCAGGTTTTTGGTGGTTATTGGAGATAGGAATCTCAGAAACTTTCCTGCCTGGATTGGCTTCAAATTGTGATTCTCAGATCCTAGCCTCCTGAGTAGCTAGGATTACAGATGAACCACTGGGGCCTGGCTATGCAACTCATTTTAAACAAAGAATCAAGAATCAAGGAAGCTTAGAGATTAATACAATACCATAGAAGAAGATGCAGAAGTATTTACACTGTTACTCTTGTCACAGCTTCGAGATAAATCTGCTGCGGAGTCACTTTCAGATGACAGCAATGCATTAGCACTAAAAGAGAATAACTGTTTATCTATTTTTTGAATTCATAACTTCTTTCTGTAAATTCTCCTTAAAGTGAAAAGTTGCTCTTTCAATTTCAATGAACCCTTTTTATTTTTATTTATTGTTTGTCTGTGTGTGTGTGTGTGTGTGTGTGTGTGTGGTGTTGAGGAACTATCCCAAGACTAAATCATGCCAGGCAAACCCTTTATGCCCCACTTCCAGCCCTCTGGCAGCAGTGTGAATAGATGCAGTATCAACTTACGATGTCCTTGTAGAAGAGACATTGGACCAGTCACTAAAATAACCAGGGGACCCTGAGTCATTTTTCTGAAAGAAAAACAATCCTTCTTAGGTTTAAATGCAATTAGCTAACTTCTCAACGGAGGTTCATCACTGGATAGTCCTGGCTACATTTATTTCCCTCAGAGCCACCAAATCCACAGCCATGAACAATTGCAAGATTAGTTGTTTGTTTCTGGTGCTGGTTCTGAGGCTTAAACTCAGGACCTCTCACTCTTAGTTGTCTTCTTTACTCATGGCTGGCACTCTACCACTCAGACCACACCCCTGCTCTGACTTTGTATTGGTTAATTGGAGATTAAGAGTTTCACAGCCTTTTCTTTCCAGGCTGGCTGGGAACAATGATCTTCAGATCTCAGACTCCTGAGGAGCTAGGATTACGGGTGTAAGTCACCTGTGCCCAGATTACTACATTTTTAATGGATGTTTGAACTGGAGTTTAAGTGTGTCTATTAGCCGGGCTCCGGTGGCTCACATCTGTAATACTAGCTACTCAGGAGACTGAGATCTGAGGATCTTGGTTCAAAGCCAGCCCAGGCAGGAAAGTCCATGAGACTCTTATCTCCAATAAACCACTAGAAAACTGGAAGTGGCGCTGTGGCTCAAGTGGTAGAGCCTCACCTTGAGCTGGAGAGCTGAGGGATAGCTCCCAAGCCCAGAGTTCAAGCCCCACGACTGACCAAAAAAAAAAAAAAAAAGTGTGTCCATGGCCATAGCTCACTGGTGGGACACAGTGGAAAAATAGGTCATAAGGGCTGGCTTGGCATTGTAGAAACAATGCAACCCCAAGTTGACTTCAGAGGGAATTTTTAAATGTGCAAATTAAATTAATTAAAAATACATACCAGTGAACCTTCTAATACTTTCTTATGGTAAGCAAGCTTTGCAGCCATTTGCTTTGCTTCTTGTTTGGTAGGACCTGCACCAATAGCATATTCTTGATTTCCAATTTTGCATTTGCAATAAAATCTAGGGGGAAATGATAGAATATTCAATCAAATATCTAAAGTACAATAAATCTAATGTACTATTTTCTGAGTGTGGATGCGCTGTGGAGGTTCTTAGGGCTAGAACTGGGTGGGCACTGTCCCTAAGCTTTTTTTTTTGCTCAACGCTAGCACTGTACCTCTTGAGCCACAGCTCTACTTCTGGGTTTTTGCTGGCTAATTAGAGCTAAGAGTGTCACAAACTTTCCTACCCCAGCTGGCTTTGAACTGTGATCCTCATATCTCAGCCTTCTAAGTAGCTAGGATCACAGGCAGGAGCTACTGGCACTCAATGATCTAGCTTATGATTTTTTAACAAAAATTAATATTCACAAAGGCCTTAGGGGAGCACTTATTTATTAGCCAAAATTCTATTATATGTTTTTTGTTTTGTTCTGTTTTGTTGTGCTGGTCGTGGGGCTTGAACTCAAAGTATGGGCACTATGCCTGAACTTTCTTGCTGAAGGCTGGTATTGTGCTGCACTTTTTTGCTCAAGGCTGGTACTCTACCACTTGAGTCCTCAGGCTTGAGTTTAAGCCCCAATATTGGCACAACTAAAATAAAAATAAAATCTCCCTGTAGACTGATAAATATTTTTGAGAGTTAGACATGGAAATAAGCACTTGCATCCAACTAGAAAAGGGGAAAGCCAAACTATATATCACCTTTGAGACCCCAATTCCACGGATATACACGGTTCATAGTGCACAGGAAGATTTTCCTTCTGGGCAATTCTATTGATAAGGCCTATGTAATTCCCCGTGGATGAGCCTTCTGACGTTAGTGAAAGAGAACTAACTCCCTACAAAGAAAAAAACTAGTTTAATATAAAGAACAGCACAGATTTAACTCTTTGTTTTTCTAAGAAAATTATTAAGCAATGTGAGTGTATGTGTGCATGTGCGTGCATGTGTAGACGCCAGTTGTAGGGCTTGAACTCAGGGACTGGGTGTTGTCCTTGAGCGTTTGTGCTCAAGGCTAGCATTCTACCATTTGAGCCACAGCTCTACTTCTGGATTTTTGGTGGTTAATTGGAAATAAGAGTCTCATAGACTCTCCTGCCCAGTCTGGCTTTGAATCTAGGTCCTCAGATCTCAGCCTCTTGAGTAGCTAAGATTACAGATATGAACTAAACAATTTTAATAAAATTAAATTTTAATAAAATTATAAGCAAGGTGAAAAACAACTTAGATATTATATATTTTCCAATTATATTACCTAGTTAAAATTGTAACTATATACCTTTCCCTACAAGACAGTGTTTTTAATTAAAAAGTTTTAATTTCTACAAGAAATGTACTCACTACCTTACTTACGTAACTGTAACCCCTCTGTACATCACTTTGACAATAAAATTAAAATTAGAAAAATGTTAATTGATCAATAGAAATTATATGCAGATGATATTTCAAAATAGATACACATTATGAAATGGTGAATGGAGATCATTAACCTCAATCATCTTACATACTTAACCTTTTTTGTAGTGAGAACAGTAACAATCTACTCTCACAAATTTTGAAATATACAGTCCACTAATACACTCATTTTCCTTTTAGAATTCCACTAAAAAATGATACTATGATACTCTCTAGCTGTATTCATATTCTTTTCCCATCTTCAAGGATACCAGTTATACTTATGTTGCTCTCCATTGCCTACCCACTATCCTTCCTACAAGCACTCTGGTCTCTTTCCCCTTTCCTTTACACTTCCTCAATTAAATGACAGGGACTCCTTCATTCTCATCTTTCCACATCTCAAATCAGAGTACTGCTGGTACTGAAGCATTGCACGGCAATGGAAAAAGACTGCACATGAATGTGTGAATGGCTGTACTTTATAGAGAATATTATTACAGAGAAACATTATAAAACATTTATGGGTTTCTTTATACTATATATTTTTTAAAGCAGCTACCAACCTTTTTTTCTTTATTAAGTATCTCAACAGCTAATTCGGCAGCAGCATTTTTTGCTTCCTGCTTTGTTTTACCTTCAGCTTTTGGAAATTCTCTCCCATCAATTGTAACTTGAAATGTAAATCTGGTGACAAAGACAAGAACCACAAGACATTGGACAATTCATGCATTTATAAGGAGTGGAGTCCAGCAACCATCATCTGCACAACTTGCTTTCAGGGTTTGGACCTATATGTGATATAGAATTGAAGCAGCCCACAAACCAAGACAGCATACCTACTTGAAGCCTGGAGAAGCTTAGACTCTCTTTTTTCTGAAATCATCTGACGCTACTGCTTTACAACAAAAGAACTCTCACAGATATATCTTTAGCAACTTTGCTGTAGAATTAAAGTATTGACCTCAAAACAGTGCCAGAAGAGCTGGGTGCTGGTGGCTCATGCCTGTAATCCTAGCTACTTAGGAGGCTGAAAGCTGAGGATCGCTGTTCAAAGTCAGCTGGGCAGGAAAGTCTGTGAGACTCTTTTTTTTTTTTTTTTTTTTTGCCAGTTGTGGCGCTGGAACTGTGGGCCTGGGCGCTGTCCCTCAGCTCTTCAGCTCAAGGCTAGCGCTCTACCACTTGAGCCACAGCGCCACTTCTGGCTTTTTCTGCTTATGTGGTGCTGAGAAATCGAACCTAGGGCCTCATGCATGCAAGGCAAGCACTCTACCACTAAGCTACCTTCCCAGCCCAACTAACCACCAGAAAACCAGAAGTGGTTCTGTGGCTCAAGTGGTAGAGTGCTAGCCTTGAGCTGAAGAGCTCAGGCCCAGTGTTCAAGCCCCATGACCGACAAAAAACAAAAACAAAACAGTGCCAGAGTTGCCATTTGGTTTCCATTTTTAGGGAATGTAGCCTGTTGGGGTTTTTTTTTGTGTGTGGGGGGGGGAGTGTACTGGACATTGAACTCAGGCCTCAGACCTGCTAAGCGTACATTCTAGCACTGGTCTACAGCTATTGGAACTTGGTGTTGGTAATGGATACTTGCCTTCGAGCATGTGGAGGGCCTGTTACTGACAGTTCATCATACTTCACCTCTACTCCATGCTTCTGACGGTATTTATTAAGTTCTTCCATGAAGAAACCTGGATGATGAAAACTGGCCATGGTTTCCTAGAAGAGACATTTGAATGAGTGACAGTGACAGAAATCATTCCTCATTTTCCCAATCCAGTTTAGGAGCTAACAGGGCAGGGGGAGGTGGTAATCTCTTGTTTATATGACTCATTTAAGTCCCATACCAATTCTGAGAAAACTTTATTTCAGAACTTTTCTATATCTTTTATGGACTGCACTATCATGCTAACTTCTTCAAAATAATCTCCTTCAAAACTCAGCTGGACAGAGAAAGAGGAGGCTCTTTCTTCCATTCTGCTCCCTGCTTCCACTGAGCATCAGTGCAGATTTGTCTATTTGCTGGAGAAGAGAAAAAGTCTACAGGAGCAGAATGAGAATGTTTTGGTGTTGAGAATAAGGTATGGCGAATGTATAATACATGCTGTTTATGAAATCAGAAAGTACTTCACGGCATGGACATTGATTCTCCCATGAAGTCTCCCTAACACTCCCCCCTCCTTTGAAATAAATTTTAGGGCAATTTACCAAGTGGGTAAATAAAGAGATCACAGATCTCTTTGAACTAAAATTGGAGCAATGATTTAAATTACAAATTTTTAAGGGATATACAATCTAAAATGTAAAGGCCTAAACACTTAGACGGTTACTATAACTGCAAGTCTTTATAATCTTGAATTTGGCACTGGAATCTAAGGTATATATGACAGCTAAAAGCACAAGCTACAAAACAAAAATAGATACAGTTGGTTTTGTCAAAATTTAAAAAAATTATAAAAGACAATATAATGAAGATAGAAATCCAATTTACAGGATAGAATATCTATCTATGCCTCACTTATTGGATAAGGGCCTATTAACCAAATATAGAAAAAACTCAACATCAAAATGACCAACAACCCAATTAGAAAATAGGCAAAGAATCAAAGAACTTGAACAGTCATTTCACCAAAGGAACTATATGACTAGCCAGCAAACACATGAAAAAATGGTCATCAACATTAGTTATGAGAAAAATGAAGCTCAAAACCACAGCATCGTACTATGTAACACCTATAGTTAAATATATTTCATGGACACCTCAAGACTATGGATAATCAGACAAAAAAAAAGTGTTGGTAAGCACCAGAGAATTTGTAGGTCTCATACAGCCTGTTACACCATAGGTTGACTATAAAAACCAGTAATATACTGTACATTTTTAAAAGCCATAAGAAGCTGAGGGCTAGTGGCTCACACCTGTAATCCTAGCTACTCAAGAATCTGAGCTCTGAGGATCATGGTTCAAAGCTCACCTGGGCAGGAAAGTGCATGAGACTCTTATCTCCAATTAACCACCAAAACACTGGAAGTGGTACTGTGGCTCAAAGTGGCAGAGTGCTATCCTTGAGAATCTGAAGAGCTCATAACAGTGCTTAGGCCCTGAGTTTTAAGCCCCATGACTGACAAGTAAATAAACTTAGTTGAATTTTTTTCAACGATGCTATCCAGACAATCAGCAATTTAGTCCTGTAATACTAGCTACTCAGAATGTGGCAATCAGCAGAATCTTAGTTCAAGGCCTGTCACCAGTGGTTCACGTCTGTGATTCCAGATACGGAGGAGGCTGAGATCTGAGGATCACAGTTGGAAGCCAGCCTGGCAGATAAATCAGAGAGACCCTTATGGTACAAGCAAAATGCCAGGAAGTGGAGGTATGGCTCACATGGCAGAGCTCCAGGCTTGAACATAAAAATGTAAGGCACCGAGTTCAAGTGCTAGTACCAGTAGAGAAAAAAGAGACAGAGAAAGACAGAGAGGCTGACAGATGCAGAGAGAAAACTGAAGCACAATACTGGCAATACTGGGAACAGAAAAAGCAGAGTTGGGTTTCTTTTAGAGGCAGGTTGATCAGTTGGCCTTGGAAGAAGAAAGGTAACAGTGAAGGTTTGGCCTATGCAAGTGTGTGGGTGTTGGGAGGAGAAGGGAATGAAGTGGGGGTGCTGGGTTTAACCAGCGTCATCTTGGCCACATAGTAGATAGGGAATTGGGTTAAACTGGCGCCATCTTGGTGGAGGAAGGTAAAGTCCCACCTCCCAGCTGATGGGCGTGCCTGAATTTCTACAGGCAGGGGTGAGGACTTGGACAATAGGTTACTGGACCTGCCAGTCTTGTGAAGCTCCCTGTGACGCTGTCCCCTGCACCCGAGCCTATTTAGGTCCAGACCAGCTCAGGCGCCATTAAGCGGTGTTTCATGTCTCCCGTGTCTCCTGTCTCCTGGCTGTCCTCCGGCCACCATGGTGTCCCACGGCGGCAGCTCTCCATTGGGTGATCTGGTTTGTTGGTCTTGTTATTCTGCGCTTTCTGACCTCTCCTGCTCACATGACTCAGTTTTCTGATAGTGTTAAGTGTATTTGAGGGGCTGCTGGTCTTTGAGACAGGAGTCCACCGGCAGTGGCCGGCTCTCCAAGAAAGGCTCCCAATTCGACCTCTCAAAATGTGGGCTTCTGTTTTCTCCTTACACCGGCTTAGGAAGAAGGGCACTGCACCTGCGGGCTGGAGACGCTCCTGGTGCCTCGGGATCAGCCCGGGCATGGGTGAGGCCGGAGCACTTACTTCCCTGTGAGCCTTCAACCATTCTAGGGTTCCAGGCTCCGGGGCACGTCCGGGGCAGGTCCGGGGCAGGTCCGGGGCAGGTCCGGCCAGGAGGGCGTCGGGTTCTGACCTAAAGGAACTTTCTGGTGGCTGGACAAGCCAAGTGGAGAGGGGCGCAGGTGGACAGAGCTTGGCAAACTGGTTAAGTCCCGATCCTCTCCTGACAAGACATTTCTAGTCAGGGATTATTAACCCAGTCCCTGGAAGAATCCGACATCCAAACTTCCCAGCGATCAACCTAAGTCCCTGGCTTAGTCCATGGCTCACTAGAACCTTCCCTGGCTCCCGACAGTCACCCGGCTGATATGCTGATCACCGGGAGGGGACAGCTGTCAGTCCCTACCGTGTTCCACGGCCGGTCCCCAGATCCTGGAGGGCGGGGCTCGGAGGTCGCTCCTGGCGCGGGCCACGCAGGGTTCCCCACTTCCGATGGACGGTCCTGGGCGACCCCGGGGGTCCCCCCGATCGCTGGAGCCGCTACACTAGCTGAAGGCCCGGGTCCCCGCCAGGCCGCTCTGGTTTGCTCTCGGTTTCGTTTCCCCTGCGGACTCCGCCTTCCCGGCTATTGCGCCGGCCCCCGACACCACCGAGCCCGCCGCGCCCCCTCCCCGCGGGGTCCCCAGCGCACCGCCTCCGGGGGGGCCCCCCCGGCGCGCTCCCGCCAAAGCTCAGCGCCCAACCACTGCCCCGATGCCCAGACACGGCCTGGCCTCGTCCCGGCCCGGGGAGAGGAAAGGGTCTGATCAACGTTCCATGATCCAAATGGAGAGCCTGGGTCCCCTTCGCTCTTCAGAGCCTTGGGATGGGGCATAGGAGTTGGGTATCACGGATCCAAAAGAGAAATGGGAAAGACTGACTTCCTTGGATGGCTTCTGATGCTTGTCGGTGGCAAAGCCAGGTCTTTGGCTCAAGTCTAGGCCAGTACGATTCTTTTTTCTTTTTTTTTGGTCAGTTGTGGGACTTGAACTCTGGGCCTGGGCGCTGTCCCTCAGCTCTTCAGCTCAAGAGCTAGCGCTCTACCATTTGAACCACAGCACCACTTCAGGCTTTTTTCTGCTTATGTGGTTCTGAGGAATCCAACCCAGGACCTCATGCATGCAAGGCAAGCGCTCTACCACTGAGCTACCTTCCCAGCCCCAGTGCAATTCATTTTTAAGGAAGTCCCTGGTGGCTCACACCTGTAGTACTAGCTACTTAGGAGGCTGAAATCTGAGGACAGCGTTTCAAAGCCAGCCCAGGCAAGAAGGCCTGGGCTTTAACTCTTTAATCACCTATAAACAGGAAGTAAAGCTGTGGCTCAAAGTACTAGAGCACTAGCCTTGAGGGGGAAAAAAATTCAGGGACAAGGCCCTGAGTTCAAGCCCCATGACTCTCAAAAGAAAGAAAAAAGTCCCTTTCTTCCCTTTCCTGGCTGAGGTATGGATGTGGCCACCTTTACAACGTGGGCCTGGGGCCCAGTCCCCATGTTTCAGTTCCTGACACTTGGCAGTTTCTGTACAACCACCAGGCCAGACCTACTCCAGGTAAATACCATCAAAGAAGTACCGAAGCTCAGTACTGGTGGTCCAGGATTTCTAGGAAATTCTACTCACCTGAAGAAGTCAGGCACACTCGCTGGCAGTGGCAGTGGGCTTGGAGCAAGTCCTACCACCATCCCCACTTAACTTACCTTAGGAGGCCAGACCTCTGGCCTGAGTGCCAGAGAAGTTACTAACAGCCAGTAAAGGGAGCTGGAGTTTTGTACTCTCAGCATCTTAGCTAGGGGGAGGAAGGAAGGAAAAAAGAGAGGGAGGAAGGCCCAAGAGAGAACTCAAACCCAGGTCAAACATTGTGCACCCCCACCCCCACTTCTCTTCTGCATCATCTCTGTATCCCAGGGTATCAACGACTCAAATTCTGCACTTTCCTTTGGGGCGTGGATCCTGCCATTGGTTTAGGTTCCCTAAATGAATCTCTGGTGGGCAGTCTGGAAGGTAGACAGGAGGCAGAGCCATTTCTCAGCTTTGTGGTATGGTGTGGGGTGGCTGTGGTAGGAACAAGGACAAATTTTCTGACAAAGTTGAGATTCTGAACTGTCCAAGTATGATCAGACTATACCAGCATTTAAGACCACCCCAGAAGTCAGTCTCATTTCGTGTAGCCTCTGGCCCATGTTACAAAAATCAAATGCAGAGTCTAATGCTTCAGGTAGTAGAATTATACTCTAAATTTCATTGGCAGCCTTGCCGATCTCTTCAGTGACCATGAAGGGGATTGATTGGAAAAAAATGAAGCCATGGGAATGTGGGAGGATTTGAATACATCTTAGGGCCATTTGCCTCCCTAAGTCTGCTGCCCTCACAGGCCTCTCACTACTGCTTGAGCAGGCCAACACCACCTGTCCTCAAGAACCTGAAGCAGTCACCTTGACAAGGAGGTTGCTGATTTTCCAAATGTACCAACTCTGCCTGCATGCCTCCAGCTAGAATCAGATGCTCATGTCCCCCTCTCCCGCAAAGAGTCCAGACAAGATCTGAGGGAGAGGAGATACTTTGCACAGTGGAGGAATTTCATTCATTTTTATCAATCGAAAGCCAGGAAGTAAGAATTGAAAGTGACTCAAACATATCACAGAGGAAATACCTGTGCTGCTCCAGCACTTGGGAATGGCTCTAATCAGCTGCTCAGTTGATCAACTATGAATTAAGCTTGGTGGTTGTTCACATGGAATGAAATTGTTATTTCAAGTAATATAGACAAAGGGAAGGTGGGGCACTGGTGAAAGTTCAGCTGAGCACTGGTGGCTGATACCTGTAATCCTGGCTACTTGTGAGGGTGAGATCTGAAGATTGCAGGTAGTTGGCCTTGTGGAGTGCTGACTAATGAATGTTACCCTGGGCACCAAATAGTGCTGCAGCTACACAATGGAGCCAGGGTGCAGCAGGTCTTCAGTATAAGGATTCCTCTTGGTAGTTACTTGGTTAGCAATAACTGTTCATGGAAATCTATACATGGCCGAAACAGGCAGGATTGCTAAAGGCCTTCTGAGATGAAATGTTTCACTCTGCTAACTAATAATCTCTCTGAGGGCAAGAGGAACAATGAACAAGGAAGTTATACAATCAACTAAGGTCTTGCAGCCAGTTGGAAATAAAGAACCAGAGGAACTATACAGGTTTTCTTCTACAGAGAGAGAGAGAGAGAGAATACACATTAGTTGGTGATGGTTTGTTTTATAGGCTAGTCTTGAAGATAAAGTGTCTTAAGGTAGACTTGTGACAAAAATACAAGATGAAAGAGCATCACATGTTAATGGGTAAAAAGATTTAAGGGCAAAGTGTAGGTTCAGCAGCAATGGCATTTCTTCCTTGCTTGGTACAAGGAGTGGGTGTTAGTTGTTTTTCAGTTTTTATTTGTACCCTCTTCTCTATCTCCTATCTATGGAATTGTAAGTGTGGGAAGCTAAAAAGACAATTTCTAGATTCTTGTGGAATTAAAGTTCTGGCTATAATCTGGGATCTTCCAGGGACTGGTGATCAGAAGTGCAGTTTTTCGGCAATTGGAAGAGAGAACAAGGCTGTTTGTGGCAGGACCAGCTTCTACACTGTGGGATGGGAGTTGAAAAGGGATGATTAAGAATTAAGTTACCTTACAGAATTGAAGAAGTAAAAATGGCCACTAACTACATGAAGAAATGTTCAACATCTCTGGCCATAAAGGAAATATGCAAATCAAAAAACAACCTTGAGATTCCGCCTCATTCCAGTTAGAATGGTCATTATCAAGAAAACTAACAATAACAAATGTTGGCAAGGAGTCAGCCAAAAAGAGAACTCTATTACACTGTTGGTGGGAATGTAAACTTGTTCATCCACTCTGGAAAGCAGTATGGATGGTCCTTAAAAACTAAACATAAAACTATGCTATGACCCAGCAATCTCACTCCTGGGCATTTATCCAATAGAACACAAAGTTACATTTAAGCCACCAGCACAACCATGTTCATTACAGCACTATTTACCATAATCAAGATATGTAACCCACCCAGGTGCTCCTCAATGGACAAATGGATCAAGAAAATGTGGTATGTATACATAATGGAATTTTACTCATCCATTAGAATGATAGTTTACCATTCATATGAAAATGGAAACACTTGGGAAAAATTATATTAGGTGAAGTAAGCCAGACATAGAGAAACACAGATTGCATTGTTTCTCTCATTTGTGGTAGCTCAAATGTGCCTATAAATCTACAAGTAAACACATTGGATGGTATGCAAGTGGTTACAAATGAATTAACTGAAATACAATAGACTCTATGGAGAGCTCAAATAGTATAATCTTTTAGAAAGACTAAGTCAAAGCCCAACAAAATCAGCACCAAGAAATGCAAGAAGTGGGTAAGGCCAAGGGGAAAAGGGTAGGCAAATGATTGGGGGAGAGACGGCAGAATGCAATCAAGAGTTTATTGTATATGCCACAAAATTAAGAAAAATAAGGGAAGGGGTTGCCTGAAGGGGGATACATATGTTGAAGAGATGACACAGTCAAGATACATTGTATACATAAACTATTTTGTTAAATGGCAAAAAATAATACATATCCTTAAAACTTAGGGACAGTGATGGAAGGGGGTGGGTGAGAATGTTGAAAGGAATGACATTGTTTAAGACACACTGCCTTCATAAATTGCTTTGTTGAATGGCAGCTCCTATGTACATCGACTTTAAAAATAATAAAAATATTTTAAAAAGAATTAGGTTCTCTATGGAGTTGTAACTCCCCATACAACTCTTTATTTTTTTTATTTTTATTTATTTTTTTTTGGATCTGGTCATGGGACCTGAACTCTGGGCCTGGGTGCTGTCCCTCAGCTCTTCAGCTCAAGGCTAGCGCTCTACCACTTGAGCCACAGCGCCACTTCTGGCTTTTTTCTTTTTGCTTATGTGGTGCTGAGGAATCGAACCCAGGGCCTCAGGCATGCAAGGCATGCCACTGAGCCACCTTCCCAGCCCAGCTCATACAACTCTTTAATAATAACAATAAAATTATATTTTAAAATTCCGATTCAAGAAAAGCTAATAAAAGTTTGTTGAGCACTTAAGAAAATTAGGTTCTTGTTTGAGCATAGGATCAAATTTTGCCTGTAGCCAAAACTACCATGGACTATCCAGTTATAAGAAGGTCCATTGCCTTCCCCACTTAGACCAATTTGTGGTTGATTTTTTTAATGTGTTGCATTAAAAGTATCTTAACTGAGTTGATATTCTGAAACTTAATTTTTGAGTAAAATTTCTTTCTTCATTAATTTACTTAATACATATCTGTTGGCCTAGTATGTGCAGTATCACAATGAAAAATGAACTGGTGATCAAAAGTGACACCATGACCTTAAAGTTTTTGTCCAAAGCTGGGTGTCAGTGGCTCACTCCTGTAATACTCAGGACTAGAAAAAATAAGGTTTTTGTCCAGAAGTGAGTTTCTAAAGGATGGATGGTTTGTAGAAGGGGGATTGGATAGATAGAAATTTTTTGGGGTACTTGGGAATGTGGCTAGGTGGTAAAGTGCATGCCTAGCATGCATGAAGCCCTGGGTTCGATTCCTCAGCACCAATAAACATAAAAAGTTGGAAGTGGCACTGTGTGGTTTAAGTGGTAGAGTGCTAGCCCTGAGCAAAAGAAGCTCAGGGACAGTGCCCAGGCCCTGAGTTCAAGCCCCAGAACTGACACATAAAAGAAGTTTCTTTGGTTGTAACTTGTATATATCAGGATACCCTATAGTCAATCCAGTAGGCACCTTTATCCTGTCTTTTTTTTTTTTTTTTTGTCTCCTATACTTGGGATCAGACTCAGGGACTTCTGCATGCTGAGACAAAAACTCTACCATTGAGCTACATCCCTAGCCCACTTTTATCCTTTTTAATGCTCAAAGTAATTTTCTAATTAAAATGTATTATGGTAAAGCCATAACAAGACACAGAAGATAAAGATTCTTCTTGTGTGCATCAAGTATTTTTCATTTTATTTAACTGGCATGAATAATAACTTCTGGTCCTGCTTTGGGGCACTGCAAAGTGAGGGGTGTGCACTGTCCCATATTTGTGATGATTCTTTCCCTCAGATGTAGCTATTTCATGAACATGTTTACTTCATCAGCTGTTCATACCTGCACATGTTACTGCTTTTGAAGCATCACAAATACAAGTAGCATCTTTTAACTTCAGTTATTTATTTTTACTTCTTTTGGCCAGTCCTAGGGCTTGAACCTAGGTGCTGTCCCTGAGCTTCCTTTGCTCAAGGCTAGCACTCTACCACTTGAGAACCAGAGCCACTTCCAGTCTTTTCTGAGTAGTTCATTGGAGATAAGAGTCTCACAGAGGGGGCTGGGAAGTTGGCTCAGTGGTAGAGTGCTTGCCTTGCATGCATGAGGCCCTGGGTTCGATTCCTCAGCACCACATAAGCAGGAAAAAAAAAGCCGGAAGTGGCATTGTGGCTCAAGTGGTAGAGTGCTAGCCTTGAGCTGAAGAGCTGAGGGACAGTGCCCAGGCCCAGGGTTCAGGCCCCACGACCGGACCCCCTCCCCCCCAAAAAAAAGAGTCTCACAGACTTTCCTGCCCAGGCTGGCTTGGAACCACGATCCTCGCATCTCAGCCTCCTGAGTAGCTAGAATTACAGGCATAACCACAGGCTCCCAGTACCTTTTTAAGAGAGTCACCAGCCCAGTGCTGACAGTGTGTGCCTGTAATCCTAGCTACTCAGGAAGCCAAGATCTGAGGATTCCAGTTCAAAGCCAACCCAGTCAGCAAAGTCCCTGAGACTCTTATGTCCAAATAACCAGCAAGAAGTTGAAGTGGAGGTGTGTGTGTCTCAAGTGGTAAAATAGCACCCTTGCACAAAAAGGTTAATAAAAAATGCATGGCCCTCACTTTCAGCCCAAGTACTGGCACACTAAAAGAGAAAAAAAAGAGTCCCTAGAGAGCTGGCTTGTCCTTACAGTCAGGTAAAGATAAAGATGACTCAAGAACCAAGAAAACAGGCCTTCCCAAACACCTAGTTTGTTCAGATGTCACCCAACCTATGGTGTTTTGTTAGAGTGGCCTGAGCAAACTAAGAAAATCTCCCTCATCAGACAAATGTCACGTAGCATATGGACTGCAGACAAGAGGTAACCTCTCATAGCTTCTTTTTACAGGGGTATATTTGCAGGCTCTTATTTACTTTTTTAAAATACCACCTTATATTGCCTATTTTGAAATTATTATGACTTTTCTGGTACCGGGGATTGAATTTAGAGCATTTCAAGATTGACCCCTTGAGCCCCAATGGCATACATACTCAGAATAGATAAGGAATGCATTTCTCTTGAATCAAATTCAAATCATTTATTCACTTGATGTCAATGCAGAGTCAAAATTAAATTCCTCCCAAGACAGCCACAACAAGTACCATGATCCACAGTGAGAAAAGAAAGGAGTTATTAGAAGAATGTGTCCAACATTGCGTTATCATTTGGAAGTTTATTTTATCGGTGCTCAGACACAGATCTAGGTATGACTCCAAGAGTGTTTACTTACACACCTGTGTGGTCCCAGCTTGTGAAAGAAGTTAACACTTCAATAGAGTCCCATTTGGACTGATTACTGGTCTCCTTTAAGATATAGACAAACGTAAGTTTGTGCTAAAATATTTAGATCTTAATCATCATTGCCAAATTTATACTATTCAAATTTACATGATACTTATTATTTGGTGGATGGAATTTCTGTATAATTATTTAAACTGATTATTATTAGAGAAAAGAAGATACACAGACCAGTTGGCTTGGCCAGAATCACAACTGGCAATATGATTCATACTTCAGCTTATATCCAAGGGAAGTGCCTGCTAAGCACTCTTGGAATTTTTCATCCATTTCTTGGTTCTGAGTTTCACTGAACAATTGTTTCCAGTCACCAATTTCACCTACAATACATGAAACAGAGAATCCAGAGGTCTGTTAGAATAGTTCTTCTTGATTTTGAGATCTACTCTATCAAATTTTATTATTTTGGGAGTATGACGTTTCAAACTAAAACACAAAAATGGACGTATAAGTAAAAAGTTTTAAAAACTAATGTGCAGGGCGTCAGTGGCTCACACCTGTAGTCCTAGCTACTCAGGAGGCTTGAGATCATGGTTCAAAGCCAGCTGGGACAGGAAAGTCCATGAGACTCTTATCTCCAATTAACCACCAGAAAACTGGAAATGGCTCTATGGCTCAAGTGGTAGAGTGCTCACCTTGAGCTGA